CAGGACCTGGACTATGACTATGAAAAGTACGACCAGTATTGGTACTCACACCTTTCCTTTGAATTAGACGGATAAACAGGCGCCATGCCTATAAATTTGCCCAAGCAAATGATATGCTAGATGAACAATGCATGCACAACTGTCTAATCACTGCCAATTGCCGCGTCGGCACACCGGCATCTCCTCACCTTCTCCCCACACGGCCTTGACTCCCCAACTCACACCATCACACTACTGCGTACGGTGACCGGTCACACGGTGGATCTGAATGCCTACGTTTTCATGCCAAAGTCTGAAACAACTAACGATTATCATCAGCGTAGAAATGTTGAAATTTAGCATTTTAAAGCTTTTAACTTAAAACTTTATAAGTGTGTTTTAACGCACTTGTCCTTATTGATTGAGAAAAGAGCGCACTTTTGATCGTATTACCTTCTACGAAGCAACGCAATCGAAGTGTGATTCCGGTCCACTGTGCGTTTTCAGGCGCGCTCGATAAAACACCCAGGCCTGGAGAAAGTTGGAAGGGTGATTTTCTGATCCTCCTTACCACAAAATGACCCTAAGCGAAAAAATGCCCGCGGGGCGCTGCCAACGCGTGCCAGCGGCCCTGCTAGTAAGGGCGAAAATCAATGCATGTGTATGGGGAGCACACCCTTAGCGCTACGATGGCTCCTTGGAGACACCTGGAGAAACCTCTGCCGGCAGAAGGGTCAGGTCCCTCGCAGACGGCGCGGCACGGCGGGAGCTTAGCGGGTGGCCTAGCCGGAAAGAGGATAAAAATAGCCGACTGGCCCGACCCAGCGAGGGGTGACCGAAGGGTGACCAGGAGTGAATGAGGGAACATACACGCGGTACCGAGCAGCCGATAACAGCACCGGACGATTAGAAAGTCATAAGTCAATGCTGCATTTTAGGCGTAAGGAAGCATCCATGTAGACGGGCGGACTGTCTCCAGCTCTTCCAAGTATTGCTAATATCTTGCGCCAACGAGCGTTGGCACGTTGGAAGTTTTATCGACCACTGATTAGCACGATCTCCCTTAAAATGGTGTAATTAAAAGCTTGGAATCCAGTCCAAACTCATCGCCAACTCGGCGCAGCACCGCGTCCCTGGTGCTCCGGTAACCGTGCGGGCCTCACCTGGTCCTCAGCAGTAATGCCCGCGCTCTGCCACGGCCCGAGGCAGTCTCGGCCGGCGGCCCCATGTGCGCGCGCGCGCCTGTCTAAAAAAAGTGGTGGTTTTCTACCACAGACGCTCGTCGAGGTCCCACGCCGCCGCCGCCGCCGCCGTCTGCTCAAATCGATCCCTGGGGAGCGGCGGCGGCCCTCCGGTCAGCTCGGCCGCCCTGCCGGCGACGGGTCGTGACACTGCTCAAAGTGGAGGACCGGGCTCGGCGTCTGCCACCCACACGCTGCACTCTGCAGCTGGCCGGCGGGTCTGTGTCCTGAGGAGGTGATAGGCTGGGGAAATTGCAACTACATTTGGGTAATGGGTATTAAGTGTAAACTGTAAGCCAAGCAAAGTATTGGCCATAAGTGGTGCATTGGTCATGCGTCAAAAGCACCAATACGTTTGAATTTGACAGTCACTCCCACCGTCCCAGCAGGACCTCGCTACAGGCCTACAGCACGCAACTAAGAGCAAAGCTGGGTCTCAGGCACCAAGCGTGTCTCAAAAGGTCCTGAGGCAATATATGCGCGTAGTTGGTACTTGCATAGCTATAAATGTGAATTACCTACACAATTGTCCCTTCCATCGGTAGACTGTCCTTCCCGTAACGACTGTCCTTCCCTTAACCCGCGCCCCAGTGGCGGTCTCAGGCCTCAGCCAACTTCGCCCTAGTGGGGGGGGGGGGGGGGGCATATGTTACCACCCACCTCTAACTCAAAAACTAAGAGGGCGGGCGCGGTAAAAAGCAGTCGATAGCTCTCAATGCGTACGTTTGAAAGTATTTCGGTCATTTTTCACCTTAGAGCAATATTGGGGTCACCAGAGGTCATCAAAGGTCAAAATTTGCCAATTGTCATTATATTTTTCAGAAAACATGCCGCTATCTCAGGAACTATGGTAGCTGGGAAAACGCATGGAAAAGCAATCGATAGCTTTTGAGCTTTTCTTTTGAAAAGGTAATTATCAATATTGACCTCAGGTCAACGGTTTAGCATCCAGAGGGCAAAAACTCCAAAAATAGCTGTTTTTACGAAAAGTGTTTTTCGACAATAACTTTCGACTACAAAAAGCCACGACATTTCAATTACCAGAATCGTGTTCTCCTCGCCGAGACGCGTCGAATGAACTATAATTTGACCTTGAAAGGTCAACTTAAAAATTTGACCTCAGGTCAAGGTCATGACCTGACCGGAAAGGGTCATGCTGCATATCAGTCGATCCGTTTCGTCGAGCTGAACACATCTAAGGCGTTTTCATCGCTCTAGCATGCCTTTATCAAAAGTTATTTGCAAAAAACTGTTAGATACCATTCGTGACCTAAGATGACCTCAGGGCATAAACAAGGGTCACGGACACCATTTTCATGTTCAGTGTGTTTAAACCACTTGTAAGTCGGTGTTTGGGAGTGTTTATAATGTATTTCGTCCAAAAGAGGCGCATTTCAATTTTCTCCCATTGACTTATAATGGGGAGGTTGCAAAATCGACCTGACCTTAGGTCATCGATATCAAAATTCTGAGATATGCATTTTGTACATGCTATTTATTGCTCTTAGCAATCGCTGAAAGTTTCAAAGCGATCGGTCACTCGGTGTAGCTATGACAGACATTGAAACTTTTTATGAGGTGAGGTCACTTCAAGTGACCTGGTGACCTGACCTTAAATGACCTTGGTCTGAAATTTTCACAACATTTGTAGAATTGATGTATGATAAGGTGTACCAAATTTTGAGATACTCGCGAAAAACCACAAGGGGGGTGCTCAAACACCCCCCCCCCCCCCAGCAGGGCGCGGGTTAAGCTGTGCAAATCGTTGTTTCTTTAAAAGCTTTTTTTAATAATTCTTAACATGGAAAGTCAATGGGAGCGTCTTTGTTGCGTAATAACTTTTTACGTTGCAGATATATAAAAGTGAAAAGTTTATAGAATATACAACATTTGATGCTCTTTCTAACGATGTATATACCGTCACTGCACGATGTGCCGTTTCTAAGAAGAGTTGTAAAAAAGCAGGGCTCGACTGTGACTTGAACCCAACCACATTAGAGCATACGAACAGGTGACGGGGATACCTCCTGTGTGCGGACGCGACACTGATTATTGCTGAATATTAGCAGTCGGCCGCCGTGCGGGCGCCTTTGCAAAGCTTATATCTCCACAACCGCTTGACCGATTCACTCGCAGTATTTCGTGTGGGATAGCTAATTCCTTTTTTTACACGTAGTGTGATATTCTCGATGCGTATGGGTGACCCCTAATGCACGTGCCACGTGCAAAACGAAGAGGTGTCAGTTCGGTAACAAGTCTAATTACTCTGTAAAGTTAGTTTGCCGATTGCGCTGATACTTGGCATGGATGTAGGCAACCGCCGGGCAATGCATACGGCGAGTAGGGTGCCGTGCAAAAGTCCAATGGGACCCATTTTGCAAAGTCCGATGGGACCCATTTTGCACGTGCGCACGTGCAGGCTGACGCTTCCAGATCTCAAGAACGGCTGGGCCGACTGTGCTCAAATTTGGCATACCGCTAGAGACTGGTTAGTAGGGTGCCTTGCACAAGACAGTTAGTATGTATTTTCATGTGCCAGGGTTGGGGTGCAGCTGCACGTGCGCACGTGTAGGGGTCGCTTCCATGGATCTTGGAAACGGCTGGGCCGATTCAGATTAAATTCGGTACACCGCTAGAGACCGGTTAGTAGAGTGCAGTGCACGTCAGTTCGTAGCACACCCACTCCGGTCTGCACGTGCAAGGCTCATCGTCTCGTTTGGCGGCGGGCTTTTTTGCGGCGTTACAGAGGTGCTTGCTCAAACAACCTGCGGTCCCGCGATGCGGAGCCCAGCATCGCAGATGCTGGTAAATCCTGACAGGTGTCGAGTGCAATGCTCAGCTGACGAGATAAAATGCCAATTTTCTGTCAGATTGCTCCGCAGATGCCAATAAGATGTCACTGGGGAAGCCTCGCGAGGAAATCGAAACACGCGGACTGTATGAACTCAATTGCATTAAATGCTTGTTGGGTAAAACAAAATAAAAGCTGGCCGATATCATCCAGTAGCAATAAGTGTTTTGTATGCTTAAGCCGCTAAAATTTTATTGACCAACAGTCACGACTAACCCCAATTCAATTTCGATTACCATAGATCAGCCTTTTGCGCCTTTCATAAATTTTGTAGTAGTTCTGCTTGGATCCGTTTACTGAGCGCAAGCTCGGGGCTCTTGTGATTACGGGAATTATCCGATAACAAGGGGGAACTGTGCTTGCATGAAAACGAAAGAAATAATCTACATTGAAATAAAAGGAAGTGTGAACCTAATAGGTGGAACCGGATCTAGAGTCATTATAACAAGATAGCGAAAGTCGTCAAGAAAATAAACAGCCTTCGGAGATGTGGAAAAGCAGCAATACGTGGACGAGCCTCGGGAAAAGGAGACATATTCCTCAGGAACTGGAAATGATTGACGCAGCCCGCAAAAGGAAACTACCGAGTCGCGCATTTGAGATGAACACCAGCAGGCCAGCACAAAGACAGGTGAAAATGGAAAGGGATGCAGAGAAAATCTGGAGAACGGAATATGAGCAGGACTGACAAACGTAACAAATGCGCAGCCAGAATAGGAGACGCGGAATAACTGCTCGAAACAGCTGCAGTAACAGCGAGTCTAGGAATATTGGAACTAACGAGTCAGGAACCGGCAGCCGGACAACGAAAAGGAAAACACCGTCGACAATGGACAAGGAACTGTGTAACACATCAGCTGGAACCACGGATACTAATGGAATGGCCTCCCCCCTCGATCCATAATTATTCCTCCCATCGACAACACAAACACCATTCTCTTCTCCGTGTATTCCGGCCGTCACGACACACCCGTCACGACCATCCGACCGTCACATCCCGACCAGCGTCGCGTCACACCAAATTCCGTCATCTATCCCTCACACACACCGAACCCTCACACGCGAGAGCGCGGCGCACTTTGTACAAAGGTGACGCAGCGCGGCCAATACGCCGCACTGTCTGGTCAGTGGAGTGCGCATGCGCAGTGGCAGAGGACGAGTGTTGATGAGGAGCTGTGAATGGAATATCTCCGTACTTCTGGATGGGTGGGGGACGTCCTATAGATAACCCACGTGGAGATGAGACAACTTGTCTGATGTACGAGACAGTGATTTGAAACTGAAACATTTGTAGCTCACGTGCCATAAAATGCCGATAAAACGAGTGAAAATCGAAGTAAAAAGACGAGTCAACTCTAGCTCACACAAAAACTAACAACGTTAGCTTAGAAAACCATTCCACCCTTCTCACATTTCAAAAATACAGCTTTTACAACGCCAACATGACCAGCGCATGACCAATGTCATGGCCCGAACCGAAGGCCACTTCTTCCATCCACCATCCCCCGCGCTTGCCTGAGAGAAACTCCTCCTCTTCTCTCTCTCCTACCGTCCTCCGCGGAATCCGCCTCCTCTGCCGCGGAATCCTCCTCGTCCGCCGCCAAAACCACCGCCGCCACGACCGCGACCGCGGTCACCGCCGCCGCCAAAACCGCCCCGGCCGCCACGGAAGCCGCCGCCACCGCCCCGGCCGCCTGAGGGCGAGCGTAAAGGTCAGTCAGATAGGGGAGGGGGAGGGGTGCTGAGCAGTGGGAGGGGAGGAGGAGGGGGTAGGTCGATGGAGGACAGATCCAGGTAAATATAGATGGAGGTGATACGTATGTAGATTAAAGGCAGACAGCGCCACACAGAAGGACACAGATAAGAAAGAGAAGAAAACGAAGGAGCGATAGGAGGGGAGAAAGAGAGAAAGAGAGAGGGGGAGGGAGGGGGAGGGAGAGGGAGAGGGAGAGGGAGAGGGAGAGGGAGAGGGAGAGGGAGAGGGAAAGGGAGAGGGAGAGGGAGAGGGAGAGGGAGAGGGAGAGGGAGAGGGAGAGGGAGAGGGAGAGGGAGAGGGAGAGGGAGAGGGAGAGGGAGAGGGAGAGGGAGAGGGAGAGGGAGAGGGAGAGGGAGAGGGAGAGGGAGAGGGAGGAGAGAGAGAGAGAGAGAGAGAGAGAGAGAGAGAGAGAGGAGAGAGAGAGAGAGAGAGAGAGAGAGAGAGAGGAGAGAGAGAGAGAGAGAGAGAGAGAGAGAGAGAGAGAGAGAGAGAGAGAGAGAGAGAGAGAGGATAATCCACAGCGGAAGGCGTATACAGGGTGACACAAAAAAGCGATCATCACCAAAATTCGAATAACTTCGGAAGTTTTATTCAGATCATCACCAAACTTCGGCCACTTTAGGTCACACCTATGTAGCAGACATCCACCAAGTTTCAAGTCTTCACTACGAAAACTTTTAGTACAGTGTGTGTTTTACGGACGCTCCACAATGTGCTCCAGGTGAGCGCCCCGGCGCTGCAGGGCGTAGGCACACCTGCATCCGGCGGGCAAAGTTGCCGATAACCCGATAAGAATAACGTTTCAGGGGTAGCACACCCCCTGAGCACTGTCTCCAGAGGCCATTGCACTCTGTAAAGTCAAAAGTGCACAGCCATCGGGTTATCGACAACTTTGCCCGCCGGATGCAGGTGTGCCTACGCCCTGCAGCGCCGTGGCGCTCACCTGGAGCACATTGTGGAGCGTCAGTAAAACACACACTGTACTAAAAGTATTCGTAGTGAAGACTTGAAACTTGGTGGATGTATGCTACATAGATGTGACCTTAAGTGGCCGAAGTTTGGTGATGATCTGAATAAAACTTCCGAAGTTATTCGAAATTTGGTGATGACCGTTTTTTTGTGTCACCCTGTATAAAAAAAAAACAGATTGAAGGAAATAAAATCGCTTCAAACCGAGAAAACCGAATTCAATGAAGACAAAATTCACAGAACTAGACTGGTACGCAGCAAATTTAACACAATACCCGAACTACAAAACAAATATGATCAGTCGTCCATTTTATAAGAATCGTTACAAGCTATGAAAGAAGGCACCACGGGCGGACTGAAGGGACCGAAACCAGCCTCGTCGAAACAACCGAGACCATCGTGTTGGCCGGCCGGTCGGGCAGGCCGGCGGAACACATCTGTTTGGTTATTCATTGCCTGGATTAGTGAGCCTAGGAGACGTCTCGTAAATTGGGAGTAAGGAAGAGTGGGAGAGCAAGGGAGAGCATGGGATAGAGTAAATGTAGAACCGAATGAGGAGAAAGAAAAACCTGGAAAATATGAAGTAAAATATGTATCTAAGCCCGTAATCATAGCATAGATTACACCATGTCAAAAGAATTTCAAAGCTACCACCAACAACAAACCCTCATAAGTCATATAACCGCTCCTTAAACTCCAAACCCTCTCAATCTCTCCCCCCCCCCCCCCACTCAACTCACCGAAGCCGCCGCGTCCGCCGAATCCTCCCCTGCCGCCGGGCCCGCCCCGCCCGCCGCCCCTGCCGCCGCCGCGACCACCCCGGCCGCCCCGGCCACGCTGCTGGCCTCCCGGCAGGAACATCCTCAGCGGCAGGATCTTCTGAGAGTCGATGTACAGCTGGCGGAGGGGAGAGATAGCTGGTTAGGGTTGGGGATTCGAGAGATGAATCGCTTGTCTATAGCCTGGAAATCGTCAGAAAAAAAAAACGGAATTAAAGTGCCTGATGCACTTTTTATGCAATTGGATGACTGCAAGTGCCCTGGCAAATGCATAGAGCGAAGAAAATATGTCAGAGAAACTGTGAGAGAAATGTTTCCGGATATATTGGAGGCAATATAAAGGTACGTGCATCAATGGCAGTTGCGCTTTAAATCCGTTCTTTCAAATGAATGAATGAAATAATGAAATAAACGGAAATAAGGCTATCCTTCCGGAAGAACGAAAACATTCTGATCTGTTTAATTTCACTATCATGAGCACAATGCCAACACGTAACACTGGTCTACCCATGGTCAGACCCCCCCCCCCCCCCCCTCCTCCCCCGACAGGCCACAAGTGCAGTAACTAATCACACAATACCGGACAACACTTGTGTAGAACCGCACATGTTACCAACTCATTTTACCCGACATGACGAGGCACAAGTAGTGATTGTTTTACCAAGTTGTCATGTCGACGGAATGACGCCATAAGAACAAGGCAGGAAACGGGGGGAAAGGGTGACATGGCTTGGACGATAGCTATAATCATTCGAGTATGCATAACGTAATTGAAAAGCCAAGAACCATAATAAGCAATACAAAAGTGAACAATAGGAATACGGTAAAAAAACGGTAGTCGAAAAAAATGTGGATGCATTTGATGTAACTTGTTACATCAAAAACGTCAAAAAAAAAACGTAAAAGTCCCGTTAACAAAATAACGAGGCGAATCAAAAGCTGCAAGCCGACTGACAGCTCTCAGCCTACGACTATGTACTGCGCAGCTAAGGCACCCATAGCACCGCGGCTATAGTGAGGTCGATGCGCCACGAGCACAGTGCGTGTATCGTGTCAAAGGAAACACCATTACGGGGTATGTAAGCTGTGCGGACGAGTGAAAGACTGTAAGCGCCATGTGCCAAGTCCAATGTATCGGTGTCTTTTGAATCGATGCAAAAGAATCAATAAGCGTGTCACAAAACTACACGAATGAAAATAAGTCGTTAATTTCCATGTTGTGCAGGAGTAAGACAAAAACTTTATGACAATTACGCTACTCGAATTAATCAAACGCATACCCGAACAGGCGGATACACACAACAGAAAAATATAACGGATGTTAAAATAATCCATTGGCGACCACGTACCTTCTGTTTGGGTGTGAATGAGCTGGCCTTGACGTCATCGTTCAGCTTTACGGAGATATAGTAGTCACGGAGGGTGCCGAAAATTTCGTCCACCTGTTAAACCGCCAACAACAATTTGTCACGGGGGAGGTTGGAAGATTCCTTTTACATATAACTGAGGCGGTGAGAGCGCGTAAAAATTACAACAATGAGGCTATCAAATCCAAGCACGGATCAATATGTCAATGAATGTGCAATCTTGAGTGTGCAGCTCACACAAGCGTTGGAGATAGATGATCACTCAAGCTGATGTGTTTTCAGATTCAGTCCATATAAGCAATCAAATCATATAAGGTTATATGGCACAGAAATAGCAATCAGATTGGAGATCCGACACAGCTCAAAGTACCAATATCCATCAAAATGTGAAACAAAAACACAGCAATCACTCGTCCATTCGGAAACCTTTACTCATACATGCCTGCAATACAGGGAAATAGACGGTGTTTTACGGGAATATAGACGATGTAATATATAATAGACTATGATATTGGTTGCATTTCAGCTACGCGACATTAAGGATTTCGCGGAGTATACTATTTCATTATTATTTCGTTATTACGACTTCCGTTGAATATAATAAAAACAATAATCAAAGGGAGTGGAGCTGTTATTGGAATGAATAGAAATTGAGCTCGTCTATTTCTACCCCACATAAAACGATGAAACAAAAAGCACAACTGCCAGCCCAACTATGGCTAGAGCAGCAATTCACCAGAGAACGTCTTAGAACATAAAGCTTATTGATATCGCAAAAAGTGATTCGGCGGATAAACAATTTCCCTGGATAGAGTTTCGAAAAACTACACAGAGGTAAGGGTGGAGCTAAAATTAGTCATCAATATCGTGTATATTAATAACTAAGAGATAAGAGAAAGACGCCAGAAATCCCGTTCGACATCTTTCGTCGAGTATTTGAGAAGATTTTCGTCATTTCAATTTCAGCTTAGGTGAATACTGAGGTCACTGGAGGTAATGTACGATATATGACAATAAATCTTTTGTCCTGTGAACAGCGACAAGCTCATCAATAAGGATAACAGATAAAGAAAAGAAAATAATACACGAATTGTTGATTATGTTTGACCTCACAAAGCAGCCATCAGAGTTCAACGAATGCAAAAAGAAACCACTGACCCAATCTTTCTGCGCACTTCCCTCGCCGCCACGCAAATATATTAGCAAACTTGGCGCTGGGGAGCGGCCAGCTGCGGCGAACTCAGCGCACTGGTTATCCGGCTTCGCAAAGCAGCCAGCCGGCCAGATCATCATAATGCCCAACTTTTGCATGGATTCGCCGCGGGCACTTCTGAAGTGCGTCAATTAATTGAAACTTAGTCGAGAAGATTGGTGCCCGTGAGCTAGCTGGAATAGCAAAGTCGTGAGAAACTGCATGTGCGCTTCAGAGAGCAAGGAGGTCATATGAAGAGTTGTGATAAATGTGAGAGACTTGGAAAGGTCAAAATGCAGCGATAAACTTCGAAATCCTGAATGTCAGTCCAGTGTTGAACCGTTATTAAATTAAACAAATTATACAATTATTCTCGCCTAGTCCCTAATGACAGGCGATGTCAAAAGATAAAAAGAGACCTACATTCCACCATATTCGCTTCCAAAAACGCACTATCGGACTTGCGCCCAGCCTCCATATTAAAAGTTACACCATTTCCTCACCTTTCCAATCATCTGTTTGTTTTCCAGGCAGATGGGCGCGTTGAAGTAGGGCACATCCTCCAGGGTGGATTTCACCACCAGGTCGTCCTGGCTGGTCCACTCGAACGTGCCGAACTCGCGCACCTGAAGCGGAACAGCGACAAACATTGGTAATCGCTGAGATTCGAACCCATGCGCAAACTTTCTTTGGTAGGAACAACGTGAAGTCGCACAGTAAACGCCGCGATACCAAGGAAATAATAATGCAATTGTGCTGTTCTTGTATGTGTGGGATGGTTAATAGGTATCGCGCGCGCTGATGATGAGAAAAATGTGACCTGCTAGTAAAATGGGGTGAGACGGGGCTTTTTTGGGTCAAGGCAAAAAACGAATGGTGTTGTTTGAGCAAATGGGATGAGTATTTTGGTGTTATTGTGAATGGCTCAGGCGTGAATAAAGTAGCATTTACCTTTTTATTACCACAAGCTATTTCGGCCTTTCCAATAAAGTAAAATGGGCAAAAGAAAAACAGACACGAGTAGTGTGGGTGCGAGCCTTGGTCAGAGCGATCTTCGACTGATTCCGGAATTTGATGGTACGACTCAGCCGGTCTCAGAATGGTTGGAGAAGCTGGAGATAGTGTGTGAGCTTCTGGGGATAACAGATTTGCACCGGATCGTCCCCCTGCGACTGAAAGATGGAGCCTTCGCTGTTTATCAGCAGCTCACAACACAACAGAAAGGAAGCTTTGCAGAAATAAAGAACGCTTTGCGGTCCGCATTTGCACTTGATAAGTTTCAAGCATATGAACAATTTGTCGAACGCAAGAAGCAGAGTGGTGAGCCAGTAGATGTGTATTTGGCGGAGCTGCGACGGATGGCGAGTTTGTTCGGTGGTGTGTCAGACGAGGCCCTCGGGTGCGCGTTTGTGGCAGGCCTGCCACTGGCCACACGACAGGCGCTGCGGGCTGGAGCACGGATTGAGGATATGTGACTCATTGGACTTCTGCAGAGGGCCCGGGCGTTGCTGGTGGACGAAGAGTCGGGTTCAGCTGCGATCGCCTCCAGCTCTGGCGGCGAGAGGCGCACAGATAAAAACCCGACTACTGACGTCAGCTCGGCTAGCATTAGCTGTTACGCATGCGGTCAGGCAAACCACATGGCCAAAGACTGTCTACATGAGCGAAGCGTTCGTACTCGAAGTTACCGCGGTCAGAACAGCCGGAGGTGTTTCAGATGCAACCGGCGCGGGCATCTAGCAGCAATGTGCCCGGGAAACGGAAGCGGAGAGGCGAATTCAGCGCCAGCCTCCTCTCCAGACCGTCGGTAAATTCGGCGCTTCCAGTCGTCCAGCTGAAAGTGAGCGGTGTGCAGTGTGAAGCGTTAGTGGACACCGGATGCACGAAAAGTATCGCCCATGTCTCAGTTTGTCGGCAGTGGGCCAAAGGCAGGGTGGGTGTCACGACTGTGAGTGGTCAGCGACATTGGTGTGAAGGCAGTGGCGGATCCAGGGGGGGGGGGCTGCGGGGGCTGGCAGCCCCCACCCAAGGAAAACTGGCGCCACTGCGCCGAAGGCGCAGTGGCGCCAATTTTCAATTCGCAACTCATCGGAGTGCCGCATACTAGGACTAGGATGCAAAAATCAGTCGAATAACGTCGTTTCAGTACGCTCCGCACCGATATTTCCAATCGTGTGGTGTCACTGTACATACTGATCCTGGGCGCCTCTTGTCAGGGCCACTGGGCGCCAATATTTCAGCGCCAATACGATGCGACTATGGCGCCCATCCGGGGCGTGGCGCCCAATTATGACCTGCAGCCCCTCCCCAGTGAAAATCCTGGATCCGCCACTGTGTGAAGGCACGGGGCTGGTGGAAGTAACGCTGCAGTCGGGTCACACTGTGGCTGTGGAAGCATTGGTTGTAGCCCAGAAGCCTCTCGGTTTTGCTTTCATTCTCGGAATGAATGGAGTGGAAGCCATGGATGGCGTTACCGTGCACAGCCGCCACAAGGTCCGCTTTGGTATCGAGTCGGCAGAACAGTCTGCACAGGCGACTTGTGCAGCTTCAGCGGTGAGCACCGAAGAAGCTGACTTCACAGTGACATACGACCCAGCGAAAAGGAAGTGGTCAGTTTCATGGAAGTGGAGCGGCGGAAAGCAGCCTGAACAGCTGAATAACACGGCCGAGGAATACCGCATTCCATCCGAAGCCCGTCAGGAGTACGAACAGGCTTTGCAGAGATGGGCAGATGAGGGATGGCTCATTCCCTATAACGAGAAGGCTCACGGTGAGGTGAAGGGCACGATTCCTCTCATGGCCGTGATACAGCGGGAGAAGCGAAAGGTGCGGCCCGTGATGGATTTCAGAGAAATGAACGGCTACTTAGATCCACACACCGCTGACGCAGACGTGTGTGGAGAGAAGATCCGAGAGTGGCGCAGATGCGGAAAAGACGTGGCTCTGCTCGATTTGCGAGATGCGTACCTGCAGGTGCACGTGCACCAGTCTTTATGGCCGTACCAAACCGTTGTCTGGCAGGGCCGAAGGTGGTGTTTGACCAGACTTGGTTTCGGCATGAGTGTGTCTCCGCTGATCATGAAGAAGGTGCTGAGCATGGCTCTGAGCTGGGATAAGAAAATTGACAGTGCGACCAATCCATACGTGGATGACATCTTGGTCAGAGAGGATATCGTGAGTGCTAGTGTGGTAAAGACTCACCTGGAGCGGCACGGTCTAGTATGCAAGCCTGCTGAACGTATCGCGGACGGAGCCCGCGTGCTGGGACTCAAGGTCTGGGGGGAGCGTCAGGGCCTGCTCTGGCGTAGAGAGGCGAGTGACATCGAGCTGCCACCAAAACTGACGAGGCGAGTCGTCTTTTCCATCTGCGGTCGGTTGACTAGCCACTTCCCCGTCTGCGGCTGGCTACGTGTGGCGGCATCGTATCTGAAGAGACGCGCTAATGCCGTAACGACCAGTTGGGACGCTGAGATCACTGATCCTGAGCTGTGTGCCATGGTTTCAGAGACTCTGAAGCGCGTCAGGGCGTCGGATCCAGCTCAGGGGAGATGGGACGTCACCGGCTCCGAGGCAGTCGTGTGGGTCGATGCGAGTTCAATCGCTCTAGGAGCTGTTCTGGAGGTCGGAGGAGATGTTATAGAAGATGTTTCCTGGCTCCGTAAAAGCACTGATTCACACATCAACCTCGCTGAGCTTGACGCGGTCGTGCGAGGCGTGAACCTGGCTGTCGCTTGGAAGATGAAACAGCTCACTATTGTCACTGACTCAAGGACGGTGTATCATTGGCTCAGCGATGCTCTGTCTGGAAAGGCGCGTTTGAAAACGAAAGCGGCAAGCGAGCTGCTCATCCGACGGCGCCTTGAAACGATAAAAAACATCATCACCGAGTACGATCTCACCGTACAGATGAAGAGTGTTCCATCGGTAGAAAACAAGGCCGACATCTTGACTCGTGTTCCAAGGAAATGGCTGCTGACTTCAGACAACGATCAGGAAGTGTGTGCAGGCGCGATGGTGGAGACAGATATAGCGGCTGTGCACGAGACCAGCGGACACCCGGGTATCAAACGGACGCTCCACCTCTGCAGACGACTGGATCCATCCGTAACACGGAAGCAGGTGCAGCAGGTGGTGCGACAGTGTCCGGCCTGCCAGTCCATCGATCCAGCTCCACAGCGATGGCAGCATGGTACGCTGAGTGTGGAGAAGAATTGGGACAGAGTCAGTATGGATATCTGTCATGTTGGTGGTGAGCACTATCTGACGCTAGTGGACTGCGGTCCATCCAGAAACGCCATTTGGAGGCATCTCAGACGGCAAGACACGGACAGCGTTATTGCTCAATTGGAGGCGGTGTTTTTGGAGAGGTGTGCACCGCGAGAGCTCCTTACGGACAACTATACCTCTTTCCGAAGCGTGACGTTTCTGGAATTCACCAGTAGATGGGGAGTGACTGTGCGTTACCGAGCAGCGCATGTTCCGTCAGGAAACGGCATACCTGAGAGAAACCACCGATCTATAAAACGATTGTGGCACGAAAAGGCTGCACGGTGGCTGAGGCTGTATACAGGTAAACGTGATGCCGCGCAGTGATGTTCCTGGCTCCAGACCGTCAGATGAGCTCTTTAACTACTCATGCAGAGTCAACGATGTTGACCCTTCCGAGGACCATGAGTCTGAAGAGCAGCACCGCTTTAGTGTGGGAGACCAGGTATGGGTGCGGGACCCAAGTCGGCGCTGTGACGTACCGAGTTCTCTCGGTACAGTGAGTCGGATCGTGTCGAGTCAAAATGTCGAAGTTGATGGGGTTTCCCGTCATGTCAGAGATCTTCGTTTGGCGCTTTTGCCACGCTCAGGTGTCGCGTTTCCGCAAGGGTCAGGCTCTGAACAGACTTGTGATCAGCTCAGTTGAGCCGGCTCAAAAATCAGCTCAGCTCATGAGCCGGCTCAACATTTTGCCAAATTGTTGAGCTGTGAGCTGAGCCGGCTCAGTAATGCATTGAGCTGAGCTGCTGTCTGAGCTGAGCTGAATGAGCTTGAGCTGAGCTGAGCTGAATGAGCTTGAGCTGAGCTGAGCTGAGCTGATTGAGCTGAGCTGAGCTGAGCTGAGCGAGCTGAGCTGAGCTGAGCGAGCTGAGCTGATTGAGCTGAGCTGAGCTGAGCGAGCTGAGCTGAGCTGAGCTGATTGAGCTGAGCTGAGCTGAGCGAGCTGAGCTGAGCTGATTGAGCTGAGCTGATTTAGCTGAGCTGAGCTGATCCAGTTCTAATTCTTTTCAGATCATGCTTGGAAATTAACTCAGGCTTTGATGCTTCAGCTATGAGCTAGCTATGGAGTGAGCAATTACACTGTCTTCGTGATCGCACTTAAAAATATCAAAACTCTAAAGAAATCAATAGTAATCACTAATCAAGCTTAATTTCTTTCACCCATATTGCATGGAAATTGGAAGACCAGGGTCTTGGCCAATTTACAGGCTAATACAGCCAGTCTCAAGTTTCAAGTCTGACTGCAAGATGAATACCTACTGTCAGGCTTTGATGCTTCGCCTTGACACTCTGCTCCGCAATGTACAATTCAGCATTCTTCACTTTGTTATTTAAGCAGTTATTTAAATTAATTTTATCA